TCCAATCTATTAAAAACTCCCTCTCTGCCAATATGTTTATTATAATATTGCTTAGAAAGGTCACAAATAAGTTCAATGGAGTTAAAAATACAATGGCAGGGAAGATTACGTAATACTTTGTCTATATTGTTCTGCTTAGGTAATTATCTACCATATATTTCTTTGGCGGTTCGCACCTGAAAAAAGAATGTTTTATTTATTTCTATTTAGTTGCCATTTCGTATAACGTGTGTCAATATCGCTATATTCTAAATTGTAATATCGAAACAACACATTATATCAATGATTTAATGTTAGGTACACCGTTATATCAAATCTTGTAACTTCATTTTTAATTTTTTGATATTGTTTTAAAGTTTATTTCTGAAAAAAAAGGCATTTTTGGGTTTCACTGTACATCTCGAAAATATGTAAAATATGTAGATGTTTATTGACCACTGTAATCAAATTTTTCCAATTAAATTGTTTTTATATGATTGCTAGAATAGCGTATCTACCATTAAATCTTCAATATGACGTGTCATTTCAATATTAATATTTTTTTTACTTGATTTACACAATTACTGATACCTTAATTTACTTTAAATTTGGTTTTATCTCTTGCCATCGATTTTTGTAGGTCTAACACCCTTTGTCATTATTTTCCCAGGAGCTGTTTAATGTTTCATTTTGAATGATACATTTTTCATCAATGACAACGAAATGCTTCTGTTGTAATTCTATAATTTCTTAAAAACTGACCTATTTACAGTTCACGTCTTGGTTATCTTTTTTCCTTCATTCTTTTAATACAGTTGACAATGATGCAATATAGCCATTAAACATTTGTCGCTCAATCAACTTTTCTCTTAAAGGTTCCAAAGTTATATGTTGACCTGCAAATAAGTATGTATTTATATTACTGTATACAAATTAAAACTTTTATAGGTAATATAAATAAATTATGATTGAATAAATAGATTTGTCTTTATACTTACTTGTTTCATACATATTATAAATACCACTTCGGATTCCACTTGTATCCAGTGTTATTGTATTAGTAGGTAATCCTTTGTTTACATGAATGCTTTTTAATTAGCGATTTTAATCATTAATTATTCTTGACTGCTTGCCAAATACTACTGACAGTAGAAATATTTTTATTTAGAGATGCTGCAACACACTAAAAAAGTCAAGAAAATAATTTCATATTTCTATTAAATTTTATAACTTGTTACCTCTCTTACAGCAGTTAAAGGTAAACGTGGTCCATCATTATCACGCTCTCATTCAAAATAATGGAATAAAGAAGCTATCAACTCCTTACAAGGACTATTTAGTTTTTAGGCATTTTGTATATAAAAATTAAACGACAAATAATCAGCTTATTCACTCTATGGTTGTTTTGAAAAATAGTTTTTTATAAGTATAACTGGCAAAGCTTAAAAATACAGGCAAAAGGATTTTAAATTACAGAAAACAAAATGCACAATCAATAATTAACTCAACATAAACATAACCTAACTAAATCAGTGAAATTTTTTAAAAGGGGGTTGCAACACCGCAACAAGGTGTACCAATTGCTGTAATGACATTTCTTCTCTATAAATACGAGCTTCATGGGCGTACAGAATGTCAAAATTATTTAATTTAAAGTATTATTTTTTGAGTACTAAACATTTAATAATGTTTTTATAAATTTTATATTATCAAGAATTAGACATGTATAAACTAAATAATTTAAATAATTCTTAAAATTATCAAAATAATCACCATAACAGTTTTCGACTTTTTAGTAATATGACTACGTTCATGAATGCTCGCGACTATACGTGACTTTTTCGGATTATTAGCTTAGTTAGGGACATTTTAATTAGTTGGTAGTACTATGACGAATGACCGACGTCATTGCTGACGTGCATCGGGATTTGTATTAAAAATACTATATATTTATTCCTGGCCAATTTTTATTGTTTAGCTATTGTAGACTACTACATAATTTTATCTTGCTTTAGGTTATTTTTTAAGTACATGACATACCTTTTTTATTTCTTCGTTTATCAATCAAAATAATTACAAAATTATTCTATAACCTAAAATGTTGTTTAAGAGCCAGCGTTGTAATTTTTGTAATTTTAGAGTATATCCTCTTTTATATTGTATATTTTCTTCTTCTATTAGAAACAGTTTAAAAAAATTGTACGAAATATAAATCTTTTTTGCTAATAAATACTAGAAGACGAGAGCCGTTACTCTTGTAAAAAAGGTCAAAATTATATCTTTGCACAGACCTTAATATACATCGTCTTGCAGAAGCTTTTTATATGAAGTATCCTGACAATCAAGTGCTATATAAATACTTTTGCAGTCTTTTCAGAACAGATACTTGTAAGACCTGCGACAGACATGCATGTGTAATAAGAATAGATAAACATGAACAGATTGTTGTAAGCCTAGAGTTACAGTTGCACCATCGTAGGGCAGAAAAAGCTCAAACCGACCTTAAAAAAGATAGCCCTTCTTCCCAGCAACCAGAAAGTGAGATTTGCACAACAAAAATAGATATTATAGAAAAAATAGTATTCGTTTTAACGTTTTTCCACTCCGATATGTATTGTAACGCAGCACCCTGCAGTTGCCTGCGGCTATCATAAGAAACGTACAGATAGAAAAAGAAGTGGAATGCTACTCATCGCCCTACAGTGTGCTGCGGCCGTCATAAGTAAAAGTACAAGTAAAAGAAGATAAAATACTCCTGAAATGTCCGAAATGTCATTACCCGTCAAGAATATTCTAGACGACAGTTCGAGAAGGGTCAAGAACTAGTTGAGTTAGAAAGAAGAATTCGTAGCTTAGCTTCGATAAGTAACAAAGAAGCTGAAAACACTACCTCGTCCTCATCTGTAATCGAACCAAGCCATATTCAACACCCAATTTGCAAGATCATTAAGCCACCCACGATTAACGGGCAGCTAAAAATTCGTAATCAGAAACATAATAAGAATCTACAGGAACTAGGGGCCGACATAAGAAGATTAATTCATCTGGCCTATCCACAGGCGCCCAAAGGTTTCCAAGAACAAATCGGAATAGATGCATTCATTGATGGATTACAAGATGCGGAAATGTAGCAAGTCCTACGTCTACAACATCACAAGACGCTGAGGGAGAAACTGATTGCAGTCCAGGAATATGAAGCGTTAAAACTCTAATCCAGATCTTCTTGCGCAAAAGTGAGGGAAATTAAATCACAGGAAAGTGAGGAGGCCAATACTAATGTTATTCCTCAAATCATAAATATCCTACGAAATATGCAACGAAACAGGCAAAATGGAAGCAGGAGATGTTTCAATTGCGGAAGAATCGGGTATCTTCAAAGAACCTGTAGAAGCATGACTCATTCTATAAATCGAGAATCAGCGAAAGAGAATGGCAAGTCATATAGATCAATCTTTCCAAGCCCATTACTAACACCAACAAGAATTAATTACAGCAGCTATGCGTCCCAAAGAAGCCAATTACCCATACCGAGCCGGCTTTCTAACAATAACCAGAAAGTAGAGCATCGAACAGGTCTCCATAGCAACGCAGACATTCTCTTCGGGCAACCCCGTTTAGAGGAACAATGCTGGTATGGTAAAAGGCTTGAAGAACGAGAAGAATTGGTTGATAAAGTTATTCTTCGGGCAACCACTATCAAGACAGAGGACGATAAAGAAGAAATCACCCTTAAAAGTCTGAGACAGGGACAGAAGAAAGACAATGACTTTAAGATTGTCCGAGAATTGCTTAAAAATATAGTTACACCTACTTGGCAAGAGATAGCCAAATATAGTAGAACTATAATAGGCTACTGGGCCCAGTGAGATTCCCTGTATCTTCACGATGGCCTATTGCACCGTAAGTGGAAGAGCCCCGATGGGGTACATGTAGTCCGTCAAGTGATACTGCCTAGGTCACAGGCGAGAGATGTATTGGAGGAGCTTCATAGCAGCCGTTCAGGAGGACACTTTGATACTAAAAGGACACTGGCACGAGTTCGGGAAAGATTTTATTGGGTCAATTGCTGACGGGATGTAGCGGATTGGTCTAAAAAATGTGATGTATGTCACGAATACAAGTTATAAAAGATATTCTGGATACGTGTTTTTTAAAAAAACGCACATTGATATCAGACTTTGACAAAACAGTTTTCCAGAAAATATATCTAAATACCAAATAAAAAACGTACAGATAGTTGGACATGAATCGAACCCAGAACTCATGGGAGATAAAATGCAAAATTTACGTACGATGAAGACACCTTATCTTGATTCATTAACGCACCAAGGTTCTAGCAAAAGCTTACCATGAAAATGCTATCGGACTTTGCCCTTTTCTTATTTTTTTCATCTTCTTTGGTTGTATCAGAAACATTTTTGAATTTGTTTTGTTTTCTTATTATTTGTATGTTTTAAGTTTGAATGTAAACCGTTTTGTCAAAGTACAAAGATTTTGATTCATTAATGATTAAATTAATCGTTTTTTTACTATCCTGGCACTTGCCCCCCCCCCTTATTTAAAAATCTACACTTTAATTAGAGTTTATAAACACTTCATCTACTAAATACTTATTTATTTTTTATACAAAAAATAAGTACAAGTGTTGTTTAATTTTTTATATTATATACATTTATTAAAGCTTCAATCAAAGGTGAACCCACTAATAAAAACAATTATTTTATCTTTTTTTTTTTTTTTTTAATTTCTGGACAGCTATTATGAAAGTACTAATAACCTATTTCTTTAATAAAATTTTACCATAAGGTATCCTCTATTTGATGCTCAGTGGGTTTTGTAGCTCGGCGGTAGCGAGTTGGCTTCGCATGCAAAAATTCGCAGGCTCTTATTGGCTCTTATTTACATAAAATGTATAATATAAAAATATAAAATAAACATCGAAACCTCATCCACATACTGTACAATCTTTATTTTAACAATAGTGCATTACAGGTTTGAAAATGGCTCATTATTATGTTTAGGACTACTTTTGCAATATACTGTCAGCAAAATACGAAGATGGAGTCAATGTAACAGGAATCATAGCTTGGAGTCTGATGGACTCTTTTGAATGGAGTTCTGGATACAAGTAAGCTTATCAGATATATATTTTTTAATACAAAGAACACCCCACGTCTCCTCCAGAGTACAGTAGTTTTCTTCCTATCCAATTTTAGCCCAAGAGCCCACTGCAAATTTTTACCGAAATGAAATATATCCCAAAAGCATGGAAAAACATTATACTTAACCAAATGGCACCTGTGTCAATCCCAGTCCTGAGCTAAGTAGCTTAAAAAAATTATTTTATATTAAAAAAATCACATAAGGCGTGACAGCGCAAATTTTTTTTGCCCTTAAAGTTTTCCAGAAAATAGCATTCAAATAATATCTTGATATACAGTATGGTTCAAATGAAAGGAATAAATTCATTATAATGGAAGTAGTTGGTTTTTCGAAAAAATGCTCGGACAGGTCAATTTTGTTTATTTAAAGCGCAATTTTTTAAATAAAATTCAATTTTCCCCCACTTCCCATTTTTGGGCAGTGACGTCATTGACAATTTTTTTAAATAGCAACCCCAATTTTTTTTTCTTGATTTTGATAGATCTTGCAATTTCCTACTCGGAAACATAATATTTGAAATATCTGACAACAATTTTTTTTTGAAAAAAAGTCATTTAAAGATCAGATACATAAATTTTATTTTATTTTGAAACACAAATGAATAAAAGATAATTATTTGTAATTAAGTGCTTAATCTAAAAAAATAATAATAATAAAAAGAATTTAAAGACAATTTCACAAATTCTTTTTTATTATTATTAATATTATTATTATTTTGTTAGATTAAGCATTTAATTACAAATAATTATCTTTTATTCATTTATTGTGTTCTCAAAATAAAATAAAATTTATGTGTCTGATCTTTAAATGTCTTTTATTCAAAAAAAATTGTTATGTAAGATTTTTCAAATATTATGTTTCCGAGTAGAAAATTGCAAGATCTATCAAAATCAAGAAAAAAAATTAAGATTACTATTTAAAAAAATTGTCAATGACGTCACTGCACAAAAATGGGAAGTGGGGGAAAATTGAATTATATTTAAAAAATTGCGCTTTGAGTAAACAAAATTGACCTGTCCGAGCATTTCTTCGAAAAACCAGCTACTTCCATTATAATGAATTTATTCCTTTCATTTGAACCATACTGTATATCATTAAAGGGAAATATTTTCGTCCTCTTAACAAAAACATCTATCCACGATTAGTAGGTAAAAATCATTAAAAATATGAATAAAACAGGACAACAATGTTACTTGAAAAATCTAGAATTAATATTTACCACCATCAAAACCTGGACCTGGACACAATTTTTTTTTTAGCAATACGGGAGAAGCGGAAGTGACATTTTTAAAAATGAAATTAATTTCAACAAATTTATTTGAGATCATGTATAAGATTATTCATTAATAAAGACACCTTTTATAACCACTATTGCATATTCAAAAAAGCTTTAAATAAAAGTTTGTGAATATGACTGACTTTTTTTAAATATACCATAAAAACACGTATTCAGATTTCACGGAATACAACACAAATAAACTTTTTTAAATGGGATATCCTCTATGTTATTAAATTTCTGGGATATTTTTTTTCTAATTTCACAAATGTATATTATTGATAACCCTATCTTATACCGTCTGTTCTCGAGTAATTTAACGTTGATAATGTAAACATGAAAAAGTTAACATTATTAAAGTAAAAGCTATGAAACTCACAACTATTATGTTTGATAATAAAATAATCCAAATACGTAGTTTACAGTGAGAAAGAAAAAGTGTAAATATTCGACATAGATTATCTATGATATTCGACGATTAATTAATCAGGAAAGAATAAAGATCATTCCGAAAATTGAATAAAATATATATATATCTATGCTATTAAAAAATATTCATGTTAAATCCTGTGAAATATGCACGCCACTGATATGGTCATTTGATGACATTTTTACAAAATTCGGTCAATGTAAACATTATACAATAATAATTATAGCATAAAGGGAGGGTAATTTATAATGAATAACCCTGTTAGGTACCATAAATTTTCAGTAAAAAAAATTTAATTCGCACTTTTTTACGTAGATTAAAGAAAAATGTAATTTCGTGTTTTCTTGGTGCAGACATTTTGCGACACACTGTATATTCAAATCCAAAATGATATATTTTCTTTTAACACATACCTAATACAAATTTATCAGCAAAATTTAAATACTTGTTATTTTCGGTATATTTCTCCTTTAGACACACACATTTTTAGTTTCATTGTCAACAGATTTAATAGTAGTTATCGCAACAAGTGCTAGAAGATGCACTTTTACGCACGAAACTGCGTTACCCGCACGACGCGCAGCGGACCTTATAATATTCTATTATAATTTGATGATCCCGAGTGGCCATAGCAAAAAGACGAAATTTGAGCATGAAGATTTAGATGCCATTAACATAAAATTCATGTTTTGAAATTAATTTAAGTTTTATCAATTTAGAAAATAAAATTAAATAATAAAAAAAGTGTTTACTCGTGGGTTTGAACTCGTTACCCTTCGATTCATAGACAAGTACTCTAAATTTTCATTATTTATTTATTTATTTATTTATTTATTTATTTATTTATTTATTTATTTATTTATTTATTTATTTATTTATTTATTTATTTATTTATTTATTTATTTATTTATTTATTTATTTATTTATTTATTTATTTATTTATTTATTTATTTATTTATTTATTTATTTATTTATTTATTTATTTATTTATTTATTTATTTATTTATTTATTTATTTATTTATTTATTTATTTATTTATTTATTTATTTATTTATTTATTTATTTATTTATTTATTTATTTATTTATTTATTTATTTATTTATTTATTTATTTATTTATTTATTTATTTATTTATTTATTTATTTATTTATTTATTTATTTATTTATTTATTTATTTATTTATTTATTTATTTATTTATTTATTTATTTATTTATTTATTTATTTATTTATTTATTTATTTATTTATTTATTTATTTAATTTATTTATTTATTTATTTATTTATTTGGGTTACACCATCCAACAGTATAAAACCAATTACAGGATGGGCACAAAAATAATTACAGTTACAGTATAATTTACATCATAAAAATAATAACAAAATATTAAATATTAATAATAGCATAAATATATGTAAACAAAAAATAGTTTAATAAACGTTTTTAACCATCATAAGAAAACGCAAAAAAAACTCCGTTAGGAGAAATAATTACGTTGTCTTATGATAATTAACTCAGTCCACAATTAAGCGTTTTATTTCTTTAATTGAAATAGAAAATAATAATTATGAAGACTTATGAAAAAGTTTTACTTTTTAACGCTGATAATCAGATTGCTTTTAGTTTCATTAAAATCTTAGTTTATTTCTAAATATAGACGAATATCTTGTGGAATGCAATTATTTATTGATTCTTTACAAGAATCACTAATTTTTAATTATATTTAATCTTAATAACTAAAAAAATATATACTGACAATTAATTTGACGGAATTGTCACTTATAAAGTTCTAACATCTGACGTAGAGGGCGTATCTAACCAGTAAATAAAACTGTTAGTTCAATGATTGTACCAATAGATGTCGGGCGCGATTGCCTCCAATAACTTTTACATGGAGATTATTCTACTATAGTTCTTTATAGAATGCTTCGGGCAGTTAGTGTGTAATTTGGTGCTGATGAGAAATTTTGTTGTTCCGGACCCCAGCAGACGAAACACGCGATATTCTTTTGTTTGTTTGGTAATTAAATATTTTATTATAATTTATGTTTAAAAGTTATTGTTGTGTGAATTTTAGCTACAATTAAATTTGTGTAGTTTAATAAAAAGCGCTATGAACTGTATAGTAAATTAAAAATGTATTTTAAGAAGCAAAATGGGAAATTTTGAGAAAAAAAAAACAAGCAAGGTTGCTAGCTCTTGTTCGGAAGTTCATGACGAAGAAGATAATGACAGAAAAGTTGAAAACAGATAATGAAGTAGATAATTTGAAAGAAGATAATGAAGTAGATGAGATGGAACAAAACGAAGTAGAAGGACAACGGTAACTTAGAAGGAAAGCAAGACGTACGTGAAAGCGATGAAGATAACCAAGGATTTCCATTATATTTAGGAAAGAACAAATCAAGTAAATGCCAACTGTTAAACGACCTAATATCCTGACACGCGAAGAAAATATTATTACTCATCTGTTATGCGTTTGAATGTTATTTACAAATGCTAAATCACCACTGGATTGTTGGAAGGGTTTTTTTTACAGACAATATGATCAACGAAATTACATTGTACACTAATCAAAAAATAAAAAAAAATCATGATTCCCATACTTTCCTTATATCTGTATACAGTTTTTATCGTTCCGGTCGGCAAAATCTAGATGACCTTTGGTCTACAGACGATACAGGTATGATAATTTTTAGAAAGACCATGGAATTCAAGATCCATTTCGCAGCATTACCAGTATTTTTCATTTCATTGTAATAAATTGAACATTACCAATAAATTTTTTAGTTATTTTTGGAGTTTTCGAAAATTTATTGTATTGTAAATAAGTTACATAAATGATACTTGTAAATAAAAATTTATGTTATTCGGTCAGGAAAAACGTCATAACTCACAAAACACGTTTTTATCATCTTTGAGGAAGTAACACTATTTTCAAAATAAAAGATTTATTTAAAAAAATTTATGGATTTTTTTCTACTTTTATTTTTATGTTTTAAAATTTGGCTATTTTATATTTCATTTCCTGAAAAATATGGTAATTTCGAGTTGTGTCACTATTCTTGCCGACAGGCAATAAGTTGATTTCCAACGTAATTTGAAAGTAATAGGAATTTAAGACTAATAATTTATTGAATATTTGATAGCCGACATAGTCGACTTACGTTAATATGTAAGTGAAGATTGGATGGTCGTATTTAAGCACTCGCAAACAGATTAACACACTTACCTCTAACTTTATGTTTTAGGTTACATTTTGGACTGTACCACGTCGATTTCAAAGATCCTAACAGAACAAGAGTACCAAAAAAATCTGCAGATTTTTTTAAGAAATTAACAAAATCGAGAAAAGTGGAATGTAAAAAAACCAAGAAGGAAATGGCCAGGTCCAGTACAATGGGACCAGGAAGGTTAACCTTTTTGGAAAAGATATTAAAAGAGATCATGCGACAAAATTCTATCCTTATCAAATAACTCAAAAAGAATGTAAAATAATAAAAAATGAGATCTACTTTGCTTTATTTCTATCTTATATAGAATAATCACTTGTGTATAGGTACATTTTTAAATTAATGTCCCATTTTACTATAACAAATATCAAATGTTTTGAGACATATTTGTTATTAAAATAGTTTCATCAGTGACTTTTATTTTAAAAAGTTACTCTAGAGTCTATAAATTAACTTCTGGGTTAATTTTCTATTTACTTATATAATTTTTACAAACAACAGATGATAAAAAAAATGTAAAATAAATAAAATAGTAGGTAACACATGTTTATAATAAAATAAATCAAATAATCCTCACTCATAGTCACAATATATGTGCGGCCGTTTCTCTTTTGACAACAACTACTTCTTTGGCTAATACCTCACCAGGTATTGAATTACGTCAAAAGAAAATAGCAGAGATAGAAAATATTTTCAACACTCTACCTTTGATTTTGCACACTAAGGAGAAAGTCATTATTGGACCCGTTTCGTCCTTATTAGGACTCTTCATCAAGAAATAGAAATTCTCGACTTTAGTCTCTAATGGAGTCTGATGGCAATACCAAATTCAATCAAACAAAATTACGGCGGGTTGAGCATGTGCAGATAGTCAACGAGCGAAAATGTTATCGCCATCTATAGTTAGTATGCAAAATCAAAGGTCGCTGTAGTACCTAGTTCAGAGACTAGGTGCATTAAAAGCCAGACGAGCTTTTTTTAAAAAGAAAATAATTCCAAACTCAAATGTGATCGAGATGTAAAATACATCAAATAATTCTCAAAGCCATAGTCACAATATATGTGCAGCCGTTTCTCTTTACAACGACCTTTCATATATTCCGACGATCTATCTCCCAAACGTTATCACGTCACGACGCTTAACATACCGCCGCCCTACTTCCCTACCTTTCTACGTCCCAACGTCATATTTTCTAACCGATGCTTTACGTCCCAATGCCCTATATCCCATTCTACGCTCTACGTCCCTACCTTTCCACGTCAAGACGCTCTCTTACACGACGCTCTGCGCCCCGACGCCCTCTCTACGTCGCGACGTTCTACATTACGACGCTCAGCATCCCGGTGCAATACGTCCTAGTGCTCTACGGCTCGATGCCCCTTCAATATTTCCAAATCAGCAACACTTTCTCGTATCAACAATAGAAAAATGTCAGAAATAGATAGTGAATCAATAATTTCAAAAAGATTTATTATTTTGCATAATTCGTTATTATAGAAATTAATTGTTCTTTAACGTCATATTTGGGCCGCTAGATGGACACGTCCCAGTATGCATGTGCCGTTTTAATATACCAGCCTAAAACTATAAGAATTTGGTCTATCGAAGTGCCGATACACCCTTGCTAATATAATTTGACCGCTCTGCTGATTGGGGTAAATGACACTTGGACGGCTAGACTCACATCTTACACAAATATGCTTGGGTTGGACTATCTTAAATAATTATCTCCTAATCTTCGCACTATAGGTAGATCTGAACATGAGGGGCAGTTCGCTGGTATTGATCCGGCTCTATTCTAGTAGGACTACACTACATAAACCCCCCTAGGTCAGATTGAAACATAATGAATATTATTACGACTGTATCTCAGTAAGCGCACCTATATAAAACAGAAACGACGAAACAAATAATTATTAAAGTTAATATAATTTCGAAGACGTCTGCTACATATCCATAAAAATTCTTCAACAGTATACATTTAATGGCAAATGCCTGTTGCCTGTTTATTTGGGCGGGATATTTGCGTTCCTTTAACCCACTTGTCGCTTTTTATCACAGATATTTTGACAAACTCTCATTGATAGCTACCATCAACAATGATCATTGATAAAGTCACCACTCTAAACGCGCGATCGGAAACTAAGGTTCGACACAAATAAGTTCAGTGAGGACCGTAACAAAAAATACACCTTACTGTATATTGTACTATATAATGGCAATATGATTCGTTACAACCCCCCCCCCCCCTAATTCAATAAAATGAGTTTGTAATTTTCTCATACAGGCGAAGCAGACACTCAGAGATGACCACAAATTAAATTAAACCTACCCGAAGGCAAAGTAGGCATACCCTAACGTCACGAGACGCTCGGAAGACCCTTAGCATTTCACTTGCTCTCACAAAATCCGACAGAATATTCCTTACTCCCGCTCAATGAAGTTTGCCCTGTAACGACCCCTGCAGACTTAGCACAAAACAGTGACTCGGGACAGGTTCGGCCCATTCAACGCGAGGCGCGCAAGAAGACTGGTGTAAAAAAATAAATAAAATACCGTATGAAAGAAAAAACTTACCACAATCTTGGTTAGCCTAGGTGTGGGCCCACGCCCTAAAACAACTTAAGGCAATTAACAAACTAAATGCCCTCAACAATACAATAGGGCCAAAGAGACAAAAAAACAGTGGATATAGGTCCATGTCTTAATATGACTAAGTGTTCTCAACTACAACACTGCAAAAAAAATTGGAATTGAGAGGAACATACTAGCCATGTCCAGTGTCAATTGATAATGTCGAAAGCAGAAAGCAGGAAGCAGAAAGCAGAAAGCAGAAAGCAGAAAGCAGAAAGAGAAAGCAGAAAGCAGAAAGCAGAAAGCAGAAAGCAGAAAGCAGAAAGCAGAAAGCAGAAAGCAGAAAGCAGAAAGCAGAAAGCAGAAAGCAGAAAGCAGAAAGCAGAAAGCAGAAAGCAGAAAGCAGAAAGCAGAAAGCAGAAAGCAGAAAGCAGAAAGCAGAAAGCAGAAAGCAGAAAGCAGAAAGCAGAAAGCAGAAAGCAGAAAGCAGAAAGCAGAAAGCAGAAAGCAGAAAGCAGAAAGCAGAAAGCAGAAAGCAGAAAGCAGAAAGCAGAAAGCAGAAAGCAGAAAGCAGAAAGCAGAAAGCAGAAAGCAGAAAGCAGAAAGCAGAAAGCAGAAAGCAGAAAGCAGAAAGCAGAAAGCAGAAAGCAGAAAGCAGAAAGCAGAAAGCAGAAAGCAGAAAGCAGAAAGCAGAAAGCAGAAAGCAGAAAGCAGAAAGCAGAAAGCAGAAAGCAGAAAGCAGAAAGCAGAAAGCAGAAAGCAGAAAGCAGAAAGCAGAAAGCAGAAAGCAGAAAGCAGAAAGCAGAAAGCAGAAAGCAGAAAGCAGAAAGCAGAAAGCAGAAAGCAGAAAGCAGAAAGCAGAAAGCAGAAAGCAGAAAGCAGAAAGCAGAAAGCAGAAAGCAGAAAGCAGAAAGCAGAAAGCAGAAAGCAGAAAGCAGAAAGCAGAAAGCAGAAAGCAGAAAGCAGAAAGCAGAAAGCAGAAAGCAGAAAGCAGAAAGCAGAAAGCAGAAAGCAGAAAGCAGAAAGCAGAAAGCAGAAAGCAGAAAGCAGAAAGCAGAAAGCAGAAAGCAGAAAGCAGAAAGCAGAAAGCAGAAAGCAGAAAGCAGAAAGCAGAAAGCAGAAAGCAGAAAGCAGAAAGCAGAAAGCAGAAAGCAGAAAGCAGAAAGCAGAAAGCAGAAAGCAGAAAGCAGAAAGCAGAAAGCAGAAAGCAGAAAGCAGAAAGCAGAAAGCAGAAAGCAGAAAGCAGAAAGCAGAAAGCAGAAAGCAGAAAGCAGAAAGCAGAAAGCAGAAAGCAGAAAGCAGAAAGCAGAAAGCAGAAAGCAGAAAGCAGACATTAAAAAGCAGAAAGAAGAAAGCAAAAAGCAGAAAGCAAAAAAGCAGAAAGCAAGCAGAAAGCAAGCAGAAATCAAGCAAAACGCGGAAAGCAGAAAGAAGAAAGCAGAGGACAGAAAGCAGAGAGAAGAAAGTATAAATCGAAAAGGCCCCACTAATTTTTATAGCAATCTATCGAATAACACTGAGGCTTTTCTTGGATCAAATACGAACAGGTGTTGAAGTAAAAAATCTGTTTGCAGGTGTAACTTGAAGAAATTTTTAAAAACTACTTACTTAACTATCCAAATACAAATCTTTTACTATATAATACCAAATCTGTTGGTAAAAGATTACCCAAACAAAGTAAAACTAAAAATATTACACTCCAACTCGTCCTTTAATTCACCTGTCGTTTTCTATCTCAGAGTTTTTGACAAATCCCATTGGCAGTTCCCACAAACAATGACTATTGACAAGGTCAACATACCAAACCAAAGTTTAAAAACTGAGGCTTGACAAATACAAAAAAATAGGTTTCGTGGAGATCACAATACAAAGTACGACAATATGACCCGTTGCACACGATGCAGGAACGCCATCCGGTAATGACCGAAATAATTACCTCCATTGTCGTCTAACAAGATGTAACAGAATAACTGCATAACATAAAACTTGTAACAAACTGGCGCTATGAAGAGCTGCTTTTAGAAAAATTTCATATGGTTATACAGTTACATTTTTACTGAATTACTTGCTGCTTATGGACGCAGGATTTTTGTAATTTAACAAATTTATCATACCCAAAAGTCTACTAATAAATAGCACTTTAGCTATCATCACTGTTTTACATTAGAACAGGATTATATTTATATAACTTTTGATCAGATTGTTATAGCATCTAAATAGATACATTCTATAGGGAAATTTTTACAAAAAAACTTATTTTATTACGCAACTGATTTGCTATCGCTTCTCATACAACAAAGATACAGTTTATCTTGCATAAAATTTCATGTTTCTCGACAAAGCATTTCACCACAACACGTGTATTCAAATGTAGAAAACGCATGTCATTTATCACAAAGGTTCGCAGATAGTTGCGGTCAAGGTGCACGATTCTCACCAAAACTCCCGCAAAGTATACCTCCATAGTAATTTCGGTCTGAACCCCTGGAGGGTCCTCGTGGATGATGCCAAATAACTTATTTGATGTGTCTCGACGGATTTCCACCTTTATGGCACTTCCCTAAAATTTATCGCTGCTTAACGTAAACGAGATTGCGTTATTTCGGCCGCAGAGTGGGGTCTCTGCATATATTCTGGTTTTTTTCTTGAAATATGCCTTATGGTATTTCATGACAAAC